AATGGACACTCTTGTCTTTTTCTTGATGTTATAGGAAATGCTTACATATTTACACCTCTCAGTATGATATTGATCATGAGTTTAGTATACATAGCCTTTGTTATATTGAGGTTCTCTGCTTTTTAAAAGTGTTTAATTTTTAAGGCTATTTCTGCATCTGTTGAGATGATCATGTGATTATTTTGTATCTTTGATTTTATTTATGTATTTATTTTATTATATTCATTGATTTGTTTATGTTGATCTATCCTTGCATCTCTGAGATGAAACCTGCTTTGGTCATGGTTATGATATTTTTAATGTCTTATTGAAATCTCTGTGTAAGAAATGTATTGAAGATTTGTGTTTATCAACAAATCATTAATTTTTTATCAAATGTTTTATTTGGGTCTGTGTCTAATTTTGTGATCAGGGCAATACCGGCTACTTACAATGACTTTGGACACATTCTTTCTTTTTCACTTTCATGGAAAAGTTTTAGGACCATTGGTGTTAGTTCTTGAAAGGTCTCATATAACTAAGCAGTAAATTCATTCAGTTCTGGGCTTATCTTTGGTGACAGACTTACTATTTCATCCAATTCATTGCCTTTTATTGTCTGCTTTGGTTCTATATAATCTTGGTTCAATTTTGATTGGTTCTGTGTCTCTAGAAATGTATCCATTTCTTTTAGATTTTTCTAATTTCTTGGAGTATGTTTTCCAAATAGTTCCTAATGATGCTCTGGATTTCAATTGTACACAATATAATATCCTTCATTTTTTATTTTGTAATACCCCATTTGTTTGTCCTTTTTACATATTTTTGCTAAAAGATTAACAATTTTATTTTTCTTTTCAAAGAATCAACTGTTTCATTTATTTAATTTAACCTTCCTTTTCAGTGAGCTGAAAGACACTAACACTATGACTAACTTGATTTTTTTTTCCTTTTCCCTGTTCTTTCTCCTTTCCCCCTTCCTAGTTCTGTTCTTCTGGTTTTTCTCCTTTTTTGTATTGTTCTTTTAGTCTGACTAATTTAAGCTCTCATCTTTATTTCTTTCCTTTCATAGGGTTTTTATTTGATTTTTCTTTATATCTGAAAGATCTTGATATATTGCTAGTTTACTTACTTGAAATATCTTGAGTTTTTTTAATGTAGGCACTGTTAGCTATAAACTTTTCTCTCAGAATTTCTTTTACTCACATTCTGGGATATTGTGTTTCCATTTTATTTCATTCTAAGATTTAAAAAAAATTATTCCCTAATTTCTGCCCTGACTCTGCTAGTTCAAAGGTGTATTATTTGGTCTCCATGTGGTCATATAGCTTTAGTAATTTCTCTTGTTGATTTCTGGTATCTTTCTATGATGATATTGCATGAGATTCTTTTAATATTTTATTTGAGATTTGCTTTATGGACTAAAATAATATCTGTTTTTTGAGAAATTTCTATGGATTTTTGGAAAGACTATGAATTATGAGCTTCAACTATTTTGTTGACATTTTCTTAGTCCATTTGATAGGCAGCATTTTTATCTTAGATGTTTCTTTATTAAATTCTTAGTCTACATTATCTATTTGTGTGAGTAATGTGCTCAGGTCACCCACTATTATTATGTTAGGATTTCTCTCTCGGTATACAGATGTGCTTCTTTATGAAGTATGTGGCATAAGTATTTGCTATTGTTATATTTTCTTGGTGGCTTATTCCCCTTTCAAATATATATTGACTTTTTTTTAATATCTTCTATCTTGACTTGAAATCTGTTTTGTTGCCTGAGTATAGGTACTCCTACAAAATTTTGGAATCCATTTGCTAGGACTGCCATTTTATGTCAGTGTATATGTTCATTGATGAAGTGTTATTCTTACATGTTGCATCATTTTTTTAGATCCAGTCCACCAATCGATGTCTTTCACATGGAGATTTAAGCTCATTTACATTTAGGGGATAT